TATTAAATACTGTTTCGTTCAGTACATGGCAGATGGAACAACACTTTTTGGGGGTCAGAATTTATTGTGGGTACTTTTTCCTTACAGAACATTTTAGTTATTTTTCTGTACTACAATAAGCTTTGAGCTGTAGAGGGTTGAATTATGAACTTCTATGACTCAAAGACTAACTATGTAAGTGTTGCATTCTGTTATTTATTTATTGCAGTTCATGTTTTTACAATAGTCTACATTAAAAGTTTTCTAGTGGAGGGTCTGCTATGTGCTTGTCTCCATGGCGATATCACTGAAGAATAATATAGAGACAGGTTAATGATCAGATCTATGGAGAAGCAAGTCTGCACATGGGAAGAATATGGTAAGAGTTTTTTTTAAGGTATTTTGAACAATAAAACACTTAGAATTGAACAAATGCAAGAGAGACATGTTTAATGCCCTACTGTGGAACATTCCAGGCAAAGACATAACATCTCTATGGAGACAATCCTGTAGTGGACTCTCCACCTTAGTAGTTACATTGTGCACCTTTAAGAAAATGTTTTTTGGGGGAAAATTCTGCTTTATGGTTTGGTTTCAATATTATCATTTATCGTCATTTATCGTCTACTTCAGCAATATATCAAACTTCAAAATTCATTATTGTGACAACAAAGCACAATGCTATGACGTATTCACACCTAATAATGGTTTGAACAAGACTTCCATTATCGCCATCTCTTGTATTGTACTGTAATGTGTGTGAGTTCGTTCCAGCAATGTTTGACTGATTACAGTGGGCTCCGAAAGAGGCAGGCCTATTAAATCACCATTAATCAAGAGCTCACTTCTTTAATCAAAGCGGCATTAAAACTCCCTCAGCGGAAGTATCTGGACGACCTCCTTTATCGAGTCTTAACGCTGCCCACAACTGTACAACATGTGAACTTGGAACGAAATGTTAACAGTGAATTCAATATTTAGTGACCCTTGAAATTAGCATACAGAAGAAAGAGTATACATGCTCTGTCAGCCTGCTTGCCAAGTCATTGACTTTATTGATAGATAATAACCTGGCTTCCAGTATTCTATCAAATACAGCTTTATTTTGCTTTAATGTTTGATTTGTGTTAATTTTAGTCAAGACAAAACAACATATTCAGTGTTATATTTTCAGTTTGTAATCTAAATAGACTAAGACAAACTTTATTGATCCACAAGGGAAATTATTTGTCCAGAGCAGCTCTCACATCACAATATATTATAATAACAAAGAGCAAAAATGAAAATGGTAATAATACATTCTAAATAAGTAGAAAAAATAGCAAGAGACTGGTGTCAAATAGTAACGTAAAATAAAAATAAAAGGAGGGCTTTAAAATAGCAGAGGCAATAATATAATGGGAGTGGATGCTTCCTAGTCAATTATTCTTGAATAAGTTTCACCACGAGCTTGAGGTTTGACAGTCATTTGGACTGGGCAATCAATCAAATTTGAATGGTGATCGAGATCATTTCTAGTTGTCAATCAATTTGGAGCTTTTTATTCAAGACATATACAGAATTTAGACTTTGGAGGAATAAAATGGGCTCTTGTTTTGTTGAATGGCAATCATTAAAAGTCTGTAGGGGTTAGGTTCAAGAAATTAAAACTGTATTTTATTTGTTTTTAGTTGGATAACATTTTTTAAAATGGGCAAAAATCATCATATTGCCTAATATGATTTTCAATTTTACTGTGATTTTACAGTAATTTTACAGTGTTTTCTTTGGATTTCACAGTGTCTCAACTCTCATCGGATTGGATTTGATGGACATTTTATGACCTGCGAGGTTACTAAACAGATTAGAATGTCTTAAATACACATACAGTCACTCTAAGCAACCTGTCACCCCCGTTAGCATGCTATTGATTTTACTGATGCCTTTGCTTTGTTTACTAACCTAGAGATAAAATACTATAACCTTCCCTCTAAACCTAAATGAAAACAGACTTATTTTAGCTTTGAGTGGCAGTTGTGTCTTTTCATAACATATGTTTAATCATGCTAATTTGGGTATCACATTTTTGACACATCTCGTCTAGGCAAATGGAGCGGGGGAAAGAAGAAATGCAAATTCCCTAAATGAATTCTGAATAACTTGGCATTTTTTCCATAGAACAAAATTACATATAAACAAGCAGACAGTTACGCAATCTAAAAACCCAAACGGTAATGAAAAGATACTGTAAATGAATGCGAGTTTAAGATGCTCAATCTTGATCAGCACAAGATTTTTCCTAGGGGATTCTGAATATGCAAATAAAATTACATAACTGTGTTGTGCTTAAGTGAGTAAATATCCAAAGGCCTTCACACATAATTTCTACTGAACCAAGAAATGTCTTATACTCAAACTACAAACAGTGACTAATTAGATTTGCAGTAAACATATGGAGCGGGGAGGGAGCACACTGCAGCCTGATTTAAAATGACACAAATTTAATAGGAATGTACCATAGAGGAATGCATTAAGCTCTATGCTGTATCGATTGGTACTATCTCATGTATGTTCGGTTTTACAGGAGAGTGCTGAGTCAGCTCCTCCTCCTGTCTTCAATTGCACCTTCAGCAGCACAGTTCACAAAGAGCAATGATATCCACACCTCTCAATTACTTTTTATAGCACATACCTCTTCTCCATTACTAGTAACACAATCTTCAGCTGGCAAATTAAATACTGAAATATTGGCATATATGTTCCACCAACTGTGTATGCGTGGTCATGTATAGAAGAATTACATTTTTAAATCCTGGAAGTAATAAAACAAACTTGGATGAAAACACTGGCAGACTCAGACCCATGCTAATTTACTTAAACCAATTATGTATTTTGGAATGCATTTAACATTTTAGTGACCTTGCCAAACCACACAAATCCTAGCTTCGTTCCGGCCAACAAGGCAAGTTTTGTTACCACTTTGAAATCCATCTCACTATAAGATATTTGAGCCGCCCGATATTGTGTGCACGTTCACGGCAAGCATGTTCTTGGTAGACAGAGTTACTTGAGTAGAGAGCTAAATTAAAAGTTGACGGAAGGAGTTAGAGGACAAAAGAAAAGACAGATGCGTTGTTTCTACCTCACCTGATTCATGTGCTCTAAGTGAAAATATTGATTGATCACAATGTACTTTTCTTGACATTTGATATAACAGTTTGTTTGACTAATGTTTCTCCAAATGGCTATAGGATGTGTTTGGAATTTCTATACCATAATGTGCACTCACAACAATATCATGATCTAAGCAAAATGTAAAGGTCCTGTTAGGATACCACTCTGTCAGAATATACAAAAATATGAGCATGCTTTATATGTAATCCCATATTCAATCAAAATTCAATTCGAAACCATAATTATTTTCTTATTCAATCATGAGTTTCACATTCCTGCTATCTACAACATTTTGGGGACTTTTTCAAGAGATACAATGTTTTAAATACTTAATCGCTACAGCAAGGGTTCTACTCTTAATCCTTATCATTCTAACATTCATGGACACTGGGGTACAGTAGCTACAGATTTACTACTACTTTTTCTTTTACAGCTTTTTTACCCTGCTACAGACTTGAACACAAAAGGACAGCATGTTTTGGGGATGCACTGACCCATGTCATCCATTATAAGTCCTTGAGAGACTTTTTTTTTTTGAGCACATCACCTTTGTGTACAAAATATTCACTATTTGTAGTCTAATATGCTCCATTCCCAAAGAAGTGACAGGATATTCCTTAACTATCGGGTCATAATGTTTTGGCCAATTTCAGTGCTAAAAAAGACCACATTTTTCTCACACCCTGTACTGTATCACTTTGAACTACAACCTCAGGCAACCTCTTACACACACACAAACACACTCACACACACACACAAACATAGTTGTCTGAAGAGAAAGTGTTTGAAACAGCATGATAAACGCTTTTGTTACACAAGCCGTGCGTCACAGCCAGATCTATTACCATCAGATACAACATTTACTGGACATTTGGAGCTAAATTGGGCTCATGAATGTAACAGTGGACGACTTCCTATTAGTCTGAATGCAAACAGTGCACAGTGTGAAGGCATGCGTGTGGTTATGAACATAAAATGAGATGGAAATGGGTACTATTACATTGCTAGTACAGTGGTTTTCATCTGACTTTACGCAGCCTCTCCAATGACCCTACACTAATAGAACATGGGTAAAAGTAACAAGAAGAGGCGTCTGCTTTATTCATGCATTTTCAATGAGTGGTGTTGCAGGAGAAATATCATAAAATATTAACTTTTGGTCCTTAATGCTCTCCTCAAAAGCCCTGACTCAGGACTGGTCTTTTATTACATAATCAACTGTCTGGAGCTCCAGTGTCTCAATCAGCTGACAGCACTGCTTTATCACAAGAAGACTGGAGATGACAATAGTTTTAGCCCATACTATGATTTCCATTACAGTGCATGTGTAATTAGAAGACATAAGCATACATGTTAATAGCACATGGGAAGAAGAAACCTCACCACAATAATTTTGAAAGTTCAATAACTTGTCTAAAATATTTAGTACACTTAGTAATCACCAAAAAATCTCAAATTAAAACATTAATGTGCACATTTAAAAACTAAAATAATCGGCTCAGCATTTCCAGTGTCCTGTATCATAATGGCACATTGTTTTCATCAATTCCTGCACGTGGGACGCAGCACGAGCTTGTTTTCTCGCTGATGACTTGGAAACATAGAACTGACAGAGCGCTGAGAACAATTCCCCAAGCAGGCTCTATCCAAGATAATAAACAAATTACAGCATCTTCCTTCTGTTGAACAACAATATTTATTAACAGAATCTGGTTTGACTGCCAATAGTCGCTGTGCTGTCAGCTGTGATGAGTTGTCTTTTGCTCCAGACTTGTCTTGACTGACACTGTAGAGTATTAAATGCCCTTGACCCAAACTATACGGGCAGTATGACTCAAAGTGCGCCTCGCTTCCGTTAGTGGACATACCTGTAAATGCCCCTGGTACATATTGAGCTCGAAGTGCGTCGGACCTCTCCTTTAGCGTGGACTTGGACCAGACTCGAGCCAATCTGGAAGCGCGCGCATCAGGAGCGATGTTCAGAGACCAGGGTCCAGGTCGCGCCACGGAGCTGTCCGCTGTCAGTGCTGAAGCCTGGAGCTCATCCAGGGTTTGGAGCGTGTAGCGAAACGGAGGCGCGCCGGGCGCACGGCACGAGGTCACACACACTTCTGCCTCACGCGCCGGACTTGATGACGCTGTAAAAAGATGAGGTCAGCCCGTCAAAAACAAACCTCCGCTTTAAGTCGCGCTGCCCGCTGCTGTCCACATCTCCACCGCTCCTCCGCTGTCTGTGCTGTTTTGACGCTGTCCCGCTTCATTCTCTACTTATAGCGCGCTCCTCTTCCCTGTTTGTTGTAGCTTAGAGCCAGCCCTCTGGTTCCTCCTCCACTGCTGACGTACAAGAGCGCAAGATCATTCAGTCACATTTCACTGCACAGAGCCTCATGGGCTTGAAAAATACAAACAATTCACTTCAAATAAGATAGTGCTTTATAATAAAGTAAAACGATAAAGATAATTAAAAGTGGTCCCATTTACATAATTCAGTGAAAAATGTATTTAGGCTAATGGATGTAGCCCCAAAAAGAAGATATTGGCTCTCACAGTATTTCTAATAACATGCCAACTGATAATGAAGTAGTATAAATTTTACATGCAAATCCACACAACTTGAATTCTCAGAAGCATTAGTGGCTTTCTTTAAGTCCTCTTCCCCACTAGAGTCCACAAATGCTCCATACCCTCTGTGGTTGATCCTAGCTTAAGATACGGAGATGGGTCCCAAGGCTCTGCACTGTGGCACCCACTGCTACTGACAGGCTGCCCCAGTGGCCTTTAACGATGGGTCAAATGCAGAAATGTTCCTATGGGGACAATGAAGTGTACCTTAAACTTATCTTGGGAACGAGTACCGAATCTCCAACTGACGTCATAGCTGCTGTTTTCGTCAATGAGCATTAAGAATCCACTATACTGATGGCAATGTTGTGTGGTCAAATCTAGCCTTGTGATTCAAACTGCAACAAAATTCTGGGCTAAAAAAGTTTCTGTGCAAATATGAAGTCGGCGAACCATACTGCAAAAACATGGTCAATACCCCAAAATAACCCTGTTGAAAGGAGTTGGTTATGCAATCCTGTGTTATCTTCCTGGTGTCTGCCGGCCTCAATTACACTCTGAAATAGTTTATGACATGTCAGATTTAATATACCGTGTCTCAGCCAATGCATCAGGTGTCTATCTGACGCCTACATTGATTTGAACAAACATGGGATGGGTTCCATTTGATTATCTTTCTTCCTGCAGACAGCAGCATGATGGAATATATGGTTCAGCCCATAACATTGGACAGAGAGCAAACTATACATGCATTTAAATCTGTTACGCAACAATGACTCAAACATCACACCCAGTAATGTTTGTAGAACTGGCACTGGGGTCTCTGGAAGTCCATCCCCATTTTTCATGTTCCCAACCTTTACTAGATCAAAACAAATTCTGCCAAAAATCCACATATTTAAAAGACCTTTTGTTTTATTTACTATATAACATATTGCACCCTTTGCACCAATATATCTATATATATTTCATATCAAATCCAGCATAATTTATCAGTGAATAATGACCACTTTGATGTGACTGTGTTGTGTGCTGATGGCGGACAGGCCTGTGTGTCTATTTTTAGATGACATAAGATTACTGTCTGTTCCATCAATCATTTATTTTTGACAGACACAAGCAGGATATGACACAGAAGAGGATTACTCCTGCACACCACACAACACCAGACAACAGCAGACACACCAGCTGTTTGTCAAATTATTAGTGATGAATTTATTTTTCTCTGAAATGAGCCAATGAGAAGAGATTGGAAATTTTGGCTTTGGTCTGAAGTGTAAGGTATAAGGACATTACCTCACACCAATAAACTATTTTAAGACATTACAAATGGATTGTGAAAGTTCTATAGTCACAAGAATAGGCACACTTCCTAACGAGCCCATTATTAAATATTGTGACTAATGAACTGATTAAAAATGTACACCTCATTATGTCTCATGTGTCATCATGTGGAGGTGTATCAAATACAATTATAATGGAAACTTGATCTAGATAAGCAGAAAAAAATGGACTGATCTAAAAAATCATAATACCAGATGGTGTGCTTCTATGTGGTTTTGTTCAACTGTATGTGACTTATTCCTATGAATGATGGAGCTTATATCCAGTATCTCTTTGCATTTGGCATTACATGTGCCCCATTTAAATTTAATATCACATTTATCTTGCTTCTCTCCAACCATTACATTTTTATTTTCTATTTATAGAGAGAGTTACGCAGACAACATAATAATGGGGAAAAAACGGAAGATAGACCAAGCTGGTAATCATATCTTCCGTAGCATGCTTTCTACCAGGTGCCTAGATCTGCCTACATAATGTACAGTCGAAGTACCAATTATGTTTGCACTTATTTTGAAAGGTGGGCGACAGACAAGCAGATTCTTTAGAACTGTAATAGTTGATTATACATTTCTGACTTTGACTATGTGAAAAAAGACGTTCTGTTCTGATTATGAACTTATCAGATTATGTTTACATTTGGAGTCTTGACGCTGGTGGAGATGAGGTCCTCAGAGCTGCCGATGCTGTGGAAAGATAAAAGGAGATGTTGCACTGCTAAAGCGAGAGGAGCTTTACACTTTACCAGGAACAGTTTGGCTGTAGAAAGAGAGGATGGCTGGAGGATGGCTGGAGGTGATGTGGTAACGACTGTATTCTTCTTCATTGTAATTAGCACACTGTGCACTGGCACACAGAGGTTTGGGGTTAAAATCCCTCAGCATAGCACCTGGGATGATCTTATAATAATAATGATGCATTGAATGTATACATTATTAAGACAAACCACTTTTACATTGCCTTTTTTATTTTCTCCATAGTTGGTGATGATAAGATTCTACTGTAGCCACAGCTGCCCTACGGCAGAATGATGGAAATGATGTTGCCAATTGACTTTACACTGAGAAATTGTCGCCCCTCTCTCTGTAACTGCTGCAGTGAGCCTCACCCATTTTGTAAAAAAACATTTGTATTAACCTGCTTTGCGTGATCCTGGTATTTTAATTTTGCTATTTAGTTTGTTTTCTATTCCTAAATTGGAGCTTGGCTCCAAATTGGCCCCTATAACTGCTAGCATCGAGAGCTTCATTTAACTGGAGCCAAATGCTATGGGTGGCATCATACTCCCTTGGTCCATTTCTTTATACAGTCTATGGTCTTGCTAAAGGACACAACAGCAATATGCACTAGAGCCAATGCTGCATAACTTCAGATCAGATATTAGGCACTCTATGTGCTTCCACAGACATTGTTCATTCCTCACCATCCATTAATGTTCATGGGTATTCTTAAACACAGAAAATAAACATATTTGAAATGGAGTAGTTATCTATGTCTGTTTGTAACCATTGTGGCGTGGTGTACGCCTCAGTCAATCATTGCAACAGAAGTAAATGAATTGATTAATCTTCAAATAAATTCATTGCATTGGCTGCAGGTTTATTGCCTACTGCACAAACACAAAACTTGTCTTGCCCGGTCACCTCACGAATCACCATTCATTTTCATTTTGCTTACAGCTTAATGACTGCTCCAAAACCTCATCTGCTGTTTGGAGGACAAGTCATTAAGAGACAGCCAACCAAACAGAGCATGGGAGCAGCAGACGGACCCAAAGTTAATAGAGCAAACAAATTATGTCAAATGATCTTTTCACAAACATACTCTGCCTTTGAGTTAGATTAAAGAAAATAAAACCTAAGTATTAATGTTTTGTGTTTATTGTAAGTCCACGGCCATAAATACTGCAATTTTCCACTTAAATGTTAGTAAAGACCTCCTCAGTGTTCTCCTGTTTCTTTGAAAGAGTCCTCCGTGGCCTTCTTTCTCATGTGATTGGACATGTGGTTTTAGTTAACCCTGATGTATTGGAGGATTTAACAGCAAACCTTGGCCTTGTGGTCTCTCTTGGTAAATAATAGCCCATGTAGTCTGCAATAAACAGATAAGGATCAGGTAAGGCTATAGTGTTGCAGAGGGCAGACTGACAGAGACAGAGGGATGGATGGCAGGAAGAATCTAATTAAAAGGTACATACTATATATTGGACTGGGCCAAGTCATACTCCTAAAAGGGATACAAGAACCATTTTTATATAGTGATTGCAAATTGACAAATATCCTGAAGGACAATCTGTATGTTGTTGAACCTGATCTTTTCTATGAATGACTGGGCCTTGCTCACTACAGTACAGTATATATCTAGAATTTTGTGGTGTCATCTCAAACCCAGAAAAAATTTGAAAATCTTGTAGTTTCTTTTTCATTAGCAAAGTTGTTCACCCATCAAGCATGATGTTCAAACAGTCATTGGGTATGTCATAACATTTTTTTAACAAAAGCACATGGTAATGTTATGCTTCAAGTGTATTCGTAATGTTTTATGCATTTCAATCTGCATGTCAATATAAATAGCACATCAATATTTTGTGCATACAACTGATACATTTGAGTGACATCCCGCTAGAAGGAGGAGGGGACTTATTTAAGAGGGACTTCAAAATCAGCTCAGTTGTTGTAGTTCAAAGTTAGTTCTTTCTGGTCTGATTGAGCAATGAGAAAGCTCCGATTAAAGTGTAACTTAAGTCACAGAGCTTCAGACTGAGTTTAGTTTAGTTTAGTTTAGTTTAGTTTAGTATGTTTATTAGTGACAATGCACTAAGCCAGGTTATAGCAACATTTCTAATTTCTACATTCAATTCGTGGACAGGTTGATGTCATAAATGGTGTGGCATAAATGTCAATAAAATTCATGTATGTAATGTATATGCCTCCAGTTAGGAAGGTATCAATGGGCCACAGCAAACTGAAATCTAAAATACATGCAGTATATTTTTTGATCATGTGACTTAAAATTTTCTGCGCATTAATTAAACTTGTACATGGACTCTCAGACTCAGAAAGCCAGCTGGCCCCCCCACCCCATGTCCTCTCACATGTTGTTCTATATCACCACAGCTAAATCATTGATAGCCACATGACATGTCCACAAAGAAGTGTCCTATTTTAAAACGTACCCTATCAGCTTGTTCTGCCAGCTTCATTACTCCACTTATCTGTGGACGGCAGGTCATTCATAATTCATGTTTCTCAAATATTCCTTCAGATGAGTACACAGAAATTCCATTCATCTCCATTGCAAAGACATACTTGAGCTGCTGCAGAGAAGCCAACAACATTGT